CAGATTCAGGATAAAAAAACACATTTTCTACTCTTTTTCTGGTTTGGATAATAAATACTTTGATTTAACTCATTGTTTACTTTTATTTCAAGCATCTGAACTTCTGTGGAGACGAGATATTTATTTTCTGAGCTGCAGACATATTTAAACTCATTTTCGTCTCAATTTACCATCACTGATCCCCCCGTACAGGTTTATGTTCCTGTGAGCTAACAGCGCTAACAGAGCTAACAAAGCTAATAGAGCTAACATTGCTAAGAAAGCTAATAGAGCTAACAAAGCTAACAGTGCTAACAAAGCCAACAGAGCTAACAGCTGTCAGACATCCTGCAGCATGTTGGAGAGCAGCGGGCCGTCAACCTCCGAGGACCACGTCTGACTGTGATGTCACTCAACACTCCTGCACAGAGCCTCCGGCCTTCATCCTCCTGCTGCACAGTGCCACCTGTCTACATCCTCGTACTCCTCGTACTCCTCCTCCTCCTCCTCCTCCTCTAGCTCCTCATCCTCCTCCTAGAAAGTGACCCCCATTTGCATCAGACTGCATCCTCCTTCATCAGCTCCATTACCATCTCCTCTCAGTCACCTTTATCAGCCTCTCTTCCTCCCCCTTCTCCATCGGTCTTCTCCTCTTCCATCAGTATCTGGCTCCTTCTCCTCCATCAATCCCACTCCTCCTCCTCCTCCCCCTCTACCCCCCCCCCCCCTTCCTCCATCAGCAGCTGGCCCTCATGTGGAGCAGCATACGTCTCCTGCAGCTCCTCCTCCAGCTCCTCCTCCTCCTCCAGAGGTGTCTTCTGTTCCGTTTGTTCTTTAAAAAGTTCACTTCCTGTTTCTCTCTTTGTGTGTTCACTGAATCCTCAAACATCCTTAACATTGAGTCAGTGACTCCCGAATAACTAAATAAATGAATAAATGAATAAAAGACGGTGAGTGAGAAAGAATCATTGAAATACCTCCATGTTTTAAACTTCAGCGTCTCCTCATCATAAACATTTATCCATCGTGTGATTACAGACATGATGATAATTGTTATTGTTTACCTTTAATAAATAAACAATAAACAGATAAACACGTGGTGAAGACTTTTAAAGATGCCGTTTATTTGATCAAACCAGGAACCTCCTCCTCGCTAACCGCTGCATCACGAGGAAGATCAGTTAGTGTGTTCAGAGCGCCCCCTACTGTCACACACACACACACACACACACACACACACACACACACACACACACATCAACCCACAAACGACCATCAGCTGTTCATGAGTCCTCGGTCTGTTACAGACACGGGTACACTTCATTGTGATTATTTAACTGCTTTCATTATCAACAGCTCCTTTCTATCATTTCAAATAGTTTTTCTTTTTTTTAATCGGGACAGAAACTCACTGAGATTTAAAATGTTTTCTCAGAGTGTCCTGGTCGAGTCAGAGAGCAGCTCATTCAGAGTTTCACACAAACAACAAATCTAAACATCAAATGTTTGTGAAGCTCGTCCACAAACACATCAGGAGAACATCTGCAGCCAGATGTGTCTCAGTGTCGTTTAACCTCTTCTTTAAATCATCCAATCAGAGCAGCTCGTTAAGTCTCAGCTATTTCTGGGATTCTGACTTTTGAACCAGACGGTAAGAAAAGGTTCCTGGTACTGAAGATGATAAGTCCCTGTTCTGGTCTGACTGATGGAAGACAGAGTTCATGAAGGAAGCAGAGCTGAGATCGACTTCAAAGAAGAAGACGTCCGTGTTTAAGTCAAGATCATCCGACACGTGCAGACAACAGACGCTTTAAGACAAGGCGTGTTCGTTTAGACCATCATCATAGTCCAGCACAGACCTCATAGTGGCAGAGACCGGTCTCCTCTTAGACTCTAAAGAGAGGAAGGATTCTAATGACCTCTAAGAGACCGAGACCATCTGAGACCGAGACCTTCAGAAAGTGGTCTTGAGACGACTGACTACAACACTACAATATATTCAAACTCTTCACAGCCTTACTCTCGTGTTCCCCCGCCGTGTGAAGAATAATAAAGTGAAACCTCCTCTGAGTTTACGGCGTGCAGCGTGTCGGCGTGGAGGTGTGAACACATGTACGCGGACTGACTCTCCTCCCGCAGGCCGCTCAACGTTTGGCTGAAGCTGTGAGACAGATGGTGCCATTCCTCCAGTGACCCTTCATGTTGAATATCACGCCGCAGGAAGCTGCTCCTGTCAGCGCAGCCACCGCTAACCTTTAAGATCAGAGGAAAACAACCTCCAACAAACAACTACAGGATGTAAGGTTAATGACTGTTTTTATCTGTAGACAGGTAAACAGACTGTAACGTCTGCAGCAGGTAAACAGACTGTAACGTCTGCAGCAGGTAAACAGACTGTAACGTCTGCAGCAGGTAAACAGACTGTAACGTCTGCAGCAGGTAAACAGACTGTAACGTCTGCAGCAGGTAAACAGACTGTAAAAAGAACAAACAAAAGAACATGACTGAAGAACACAAGAAAGGACATGAGTCTAAAAGAGAAGAGCAGCAGAAGCATTAAAAAACATGAGTTATAAAAAACAAGTGAGTGCAGGAAGCACTGTGTAAAACTCTCAACAGGGTGTGACGCCCTCAGGTGGTCTGGGAGGGCGTTCCACAGCCGTGGAGCAGCAGAATGGAGTGCCTGATCCCCCCATTGTGTATAACTTAGTCCTGGGGGGTTGGAGATGGAGTTCTTGTAGATGTTTGAGGGATGAGCAGGTCCTCTGTGTAACGTGGGGGCATTTTCATGGCTGCAGGGAGACTTTATGTGGTGTCTAGGACTTTTATATTTGTTGCCATAGTAATGAAACAGGGAGTGATATTGTTTAACTCTTACTACAGTCAATGCATTGTGACATCCCTTCTTGTTTGTGAACAGCTGTAGTTTGGAGCCTCTGTGTTGTGAGCTGCAGCAGCCCGGAGGAAGAGGGCCCCCTACAGGCCGAGCCTCCCCATAGCAGCTGGCCGGCCTTAACGCTCCACTTGAGGCACACAGATGCATGCTGGGAGCTCCAGCCTGCTCAGTGTGTTTAGGATGTCAGACTCCTGCAGGTCAACCCCGATCAGAGCTGTCAACACCTCCCCCTGCTGGATCCCTGAAGCTGTACGACTTAAAGACACAGGTGTCACCCTGCAGGTGAATCCTCTCTGTCGCCTTCTCTGTGAGACACCGAAGCAGTCGGAGAAGAGAGAGCTCAGGAAGCTCAAAGGAAAGAAGACTGAGGTAGCTCATTTCGTTTCACATCTTAAATGAGATCTGAAATAAGTGAATACTGTTCGTCACTTTTTATTAAAAAAAAAATAATACTCTTAGACTTAATTATGTTTGTATATTTATAATATATTCATGTTTACTTTAAAGTCGGAGTCATTAGAAATGTAAACACATCATTCAAACTAGGCCCCTCCCCCAGAAACTCTCACTCACCTTCAGTCTACTAAACAACCACGAGGTTCAGTCTACTGAACGACTACGAGGGTTCAGAATGACCACAAGGGTTCAGTCTACAGAATGACCATGAGGGTTCAGTCTACTGAATGACCACAAGGGTTCAGTCTACTGTAAGACCACGAGGGTTCAGTCTACTGTAAGACCACGAGGGTTCAGTCTACAGAATGACCATGAGGGTTCAGTCTACTGAATGACCACGAGGGTTCAGTCTACTGTAAGACCATGAGGGTTCAGTCTACTGTAAGACCACAAGGGTTCAGTCTACTGTAAGACCACAAGGGTTCAGTCTACTGAATGACCACAAGGGTTCAGTCTACTGTAAGACCACAAGGGTTCAGTCTACTGTAAGACCACGAGGGTTCAGTCTACTGAATGACCACGAGGGTTCAGTCTACTGTAAGACCACGAGGGTTCAGTCTACTGTAAGACCACGAGGGTTCAGTCTACTGTAAGACCACAAGGGTTCAGTCTACTGTAAGACCACGAGGGTTCAGTCTACTGTAAGACCACAAGGGTTCAGTCTACTGAATGACCACGAGGGTTCAGTCTACTGTAAGACCATGAGGTTCAGAATGACCACGAGGGTTCAGTCTACTGAATGACCACGAGGGTTCAGTCTACTGTAAGACCACAAGGGTTCAGAATGACCACGAGGGTTCAGTCTACTGTAAAACCACAAGGGTTCAGTCTACTGTAAGACCACAAGGGTTCAGTCTACTGAATGACCACGAGGGTTCAGAATGACCACGAGGGTTCAGTCTACTGTAAAACCACAAGGGTTCAGTCTACTGTAAGACCACAAGGGTTCAGTCTACTGAATGACCACGAGGGTTCAGAACGACCACGAGGGTTCAGAACAACCACGAGGGTTCAGTCTACTGAACGACCATGAGGGTTCAGTCTACTGAACGACCGCGAGAGTTCAGAACGACCACGAGGGTTCTGTCTACTGAAAAGTCTCCATACTGAATTGTGACTTTTCAGAAACTCTGCAAAGAATGAGGAGCCCGACTTGCTGACTTATTCTTCTTAAACAAGATGTTTAGTTGATGTTAAGATGCTTTTGATTCATTCACATATTGTACATCTTTAGTTAAAGTATAACTCCTAACAGAGATATTCACACTTCTTCCTACCATCCACGCTGTTTATTGTTGTTACAACATTCAGACTTTAGAACTGAAAGCACGTTTTAGTTTGGATTACATTTACGACAAAGTTTTTTTTTTTAAACGTTGAACTTGTGGAGCACAAGTTTAGTTTAGAAAGCTTTTGAGTTTTTGGATGAAGTAATTGTTTTAATGTATAAATCTGTCTTTCTGAAAGATAAGAGCTTTATTGTGAATGTCGAACTTTATAAATAAAATTAAATTTATAAGAAAATATTTTCTTCTGACAGTCACATTTAAACTCAAGAGGACAAAAAAAACTTTCCTCCCAAGAAGCTCAAAATGACTGTTTACATTCTTCAGAGAACTGTTTGTTTTCATCAGCTTGACGTGACGTCATAATCCCGCGCCGTCCCGCTTGTGTGCAAACAGTTTAACATGGCGGACAGTGGGTCCCTCATAGCGGCTCTGCTGAGCTCCTTGCTCTCCCTGGATGTTCCTCCGGACCTCGGGGCTCAGGTGGCCGAGCTGTACCGGCTCCAGACGGCCCTGCTGAGGCGGAGGAGGCTCCGCGAGATGGTGGAGAGAGACCGGCGGAGGAGACAGTACCTGCGGAGGAGGAGGGCGTTCCTGCTCTCCTCCATGGCCGGGATCCTTAGCCTCATCACGGTCACCAGGAGACCCGTGTGGGTCATTAACCGGAGCCCGGCGCAGAACCTGTGGGCCGGGGCGCAGCACTTCGACGAGGAGGAATGGAAGGCGCAGTTTCGGATCTCGAGAGCGACGTTTGACTTCCTGCTCGAAGAGGTCGGTCCCGCCATCAAACGACGCAGGACGAATTTCCGCGCGCCCATCGAACCGGACCGGAGGCTGGCCATCGCCCTGTGGTGGTTCTCCCGATCCGGGGAGTACCGAACCATCGCCCAAATGTTCGGTACGTATTCGGGATCCGATTATTTAAAACGATTGTCCACCTTTTCAGCGTTTCTGTGGCCAGTGAATTTAATAACAAGAGATGGCGTGCAGGCGTCTGCTTACTCTTTTTTTCTGTATTTGATATTAAAAACATGACTTTACGTCTGGAACATGAAGATGGCGACCCGTAATGTGGGGATTGTAAATATCTGAAGGTCGTTCTGCACGGGAGATCTTTATTAACCTTTCTCACTAATGAGGAGTCAGTTTGATCTAAATCCCAGAGAGGGGTTCTTTTTTCTCACATGTTGATTATCTTACTGCAGGTGTGGGCGTGGCCACCGTGTGTATCGTAGTCCGGCAGGTCACCGCCGCCATACTGGACCGCATGTATGAGCGTTACGTGTCGCTGCCCTCAGGTGAGAGGCTGGACGAAACCATCCGGGCCTTTAAAGACCGCTGCTACCCGCAGTGTGCCGGGATCATCGGCGGGACTCACATCCCCATCTCCGCCCCGAGGGACAACCCCGACGACTACTACAACCAGAACGGCTGGCACTCGGTCATCCTGCAGGCGGTGGTCGACCACGACGCCCGGTGAGCAGGACTCTAGAGGCGTGGAAAATTCTAGTATCACCCTGACATTTATATCATCAGACAGGTCAGGAGAGACGACATCAAGTCCTGCACGCTGTTTTAATGTACACATTCATCGGCAACAATTCAGTCGAACATAAAAAGATGCCATATTGAACGACAGAAGGATCTACGTGAAGACTATCTTCTGAACTTCTATATTCTGTCCTCCACAGGTTCACAGACGTTTACGCCGGCTGGCCCGGCAGCACCAGCACGGCCTCGGTTCTGTCCAGCTCAGACCTGTTCCTGAAAGCAGAGGACCGGCCTGACGGGTACCTGTTCCCCAGAGAGGTGAGAGTCCAGGGGTGGGGGCTTTGTAGTGTCTTTGCAGTCTGTTTACCTGCTGTAGATGTTACAGCCTGTTTACCTGCTGCAGGCGTTACAGCCTGTTTACCTGCTGCAGGCGTTACAGTCTGTTTACCTGCTGCAGGCGTTACAGTCTGTTTACCTGCTGCAGACGTTACAGTCTGTTTACCTGCTGCAGACGTTACAGTCTGTTTACCTGCTGCAGACGTTACAGTCTGTTTACCTGCTGCAGACGTTACAGTCTGTTTAATGTGTCGTCTCTCTTTCAGAAATCCATCATGTCAGACGGCGTGGAGATCCCCGTCCATCTGATCGGAGACGAGTCGTTCCCTCTGAAGCCGTGGTTGATGAAAGGATACAGCCAACACCATCAGCTGTCTCCTGAACAGCGCCGCTTCACCTACACCCTCAGCTCCGCCCGCTCCGTGGTCGACACCGCCTTCATGCGTCTGAAAGGGCGTTGGAGGTGTCTGCTGAAGAAGACCGACATCGACGTGTCCATGATGCCGCGCGTAGTGGCTGCGTGCTGCGTCCTGCACAACATGTGTGAACAGCTGGGGGACTGTTTCCTGCCCGAGTGGAACGCCGACGCCAATCCAACTGTGATGAGTCTGAGACAACCGGACACGGAGCCGTACGAGGGAGACACGTACTGCACCGCCGAGGTCATCAGGGACACCATCACCTACAACCTGCTCACTATCCTGCAGTACTGAACGCTAAACTGCAGGAAGGTTTCCTGCGTCAGACGCAGTGTCTAAACTGGACGTGTAAACGATGTCAGTCTGGAACTGAAGTCGTGTCATTATTTGTTACCACGGAGACGTAAGGCTCATCTCAACTAGCAGAGCGTGACGTCCAAACTAACCTAAACATCATAAGAAATGAGGTATGAACTGGATGTGACCAATGAGAGAGCAGCATTTCTCTTCCTGCAGCGTCCCCGTGTTTCTTCTCGTATGTTGACATGAATCTCCTGGTTTTGATCGGGTTTTCAAGTTTCTGTGTTTCTTCATGTAAACATCAGATCCTGATTTCAAGAGACAAGATTTATCTACCTGGAGAACTTCTGTTTACTCATTCACAAACACAAACTGTGATGTTTGTAGGGTCTGTCAAAGCGTCATGAGGGGGAACTAAAGCCGACAGCCTTCACAGCTGGTGAACAATAACAGGGACATCTAGTGGTGAGATCTGAAACTACAACAGGTCACTTAACAGTCCTCTTTGATTGGAGGGATGAAATGATCTGGGCTCCCTCTTCTCCTCCAAGTTATCACATTGTTTATAAGATCATCACCATGACAACCAGACTGTATGGAGGATGTCACATTTAAGGTGTAACTGCTGCCCACGCTGGAATGACCTGAGCTGGTGACACACTGGACCAAGACTCTCTCAAGGTTCACACGCACAACTACATGCACAGCTGCACACACACACAGAGCCAGGATCATTAGAGGTTAATCATCATCATGTGCAGGTTGGTCATTAAGTTCACACCTTCGGGTGTCCAGGACTTCTGTTTGTGTTGCCGTGGTAATAAACGGGTGTTGATATGTCACTTTGCAGGAGTTTTATATTCTGGTGTTGTGAAGGGATGTTTCTAATAAAGTGGAATGGAAACCAGTTTGTCCCACAGGTGACTTCCTCTGACCAATAAAAACCTCTGAATCAGCCGAGAGCTGACTTCCTGTCAGCATTAACCCCACACTTCACTACACGTCACATTATATATCGATCTGCTGACACCAATGTTAACATGATGCATCGCTGAACGTTTCACTGTGTGGAGTCTTAACAAAGTATCACGTGACGTCACACGCTTATGGGATCGCCCACCTGGCAGACACAAAGGCTCTAATGCTGCACGCCACCGCAGACTGACGTCACCTGTCCGTTACTGCAGGGGGCGTTGGAGTCCCATCAATGGCAGCCTCCATGCTGGAAACGCTGTGTCAGCCTAACTTTCAGTCAACCCATCGACAGGCTGAAAGTTGGAGCTGAGGCGGGTTTTAAACCTCCTGACAAACCGTTACACCGCGCCCGCCTGTCAATCAGGTCAGCTCCACGCCTTATTGTGAATAACTCTTATCATTCATTAAATCAAAACATTCGCCCCCCGTACAGTGTGCTGATAGACTTCATCTTGCAGCGGTGTCTCCTCTGAATGTCAGCATGGTGTTGTGTTCCGGTTAAAAGTGTGACAGTATTACCTGGCGACTTCAGACAAACGTCACTGAAAGTGTCCTAACAGACGGCTCTTTGTATCATCATGTCAAAAACACTTATTAGATAAGTCTTCAATGAAAAGCTAAATCCAGACCCATTTGGCTGAACATCACCATATAACATGGTCACTCTTTAAACCGTAACACCAGAAAGGACTTGGTTGAAAGTGTGCCGTGTGATGTACAAGGGTCACAAAACTCTTGTTTGTCATATCCGTTTTATTCTGGTTGTCTAGAGATGTTACATTTAAAGCCTGTGCTGCAGCTAGTGTTTGCGATGGTGGGCGCCACTTTCCTAACCTCTTTTTGACCCCGAGCCCTCAGTGCTGGTCACGTGACTGAAAGCTTTAAACCACTCTGTGAATGCTGAGTCAGCACTCCCCCATGTAACCCAGAGCCTCGCCGTTATACCCGTTTATATTTAACACTGACCTTTACCTCTGAACCCAGCCAATCAGGTCATCTTTGGTTTTCATCAGCAAACAGGAAGAGACGCAGCTCCTTCCTGTTTATTGAGCCGTTAATAAAGTCAAATGTTTTTAATTTTCCTGCATGAATAAAATAAATCTGACTCTCCCTCCAGATTGTTTTGATTCAATCATTAATTATTCATTCATTATTTTTTATTTATATCTAAAGACAGGAAGTAGCTGCAATCTGCACATGTGCAGAGCGTGGCTCCTGCCCCTGAGCAGTGATGTCATCGTGGACAGGACAGGTGTGTGCACAGAGTAGAAATAAAAACAGAGAAACTTTTATTGTGGCGATCTACTGTACACACTGAGCGCGCTCAGTACAGCAGCAGGAAGTGAACATAGAATAAATGGAATGCTTCAGTAATACTGATCTGACCATATAAGGAAGAGAAGTCTGTGACATCATCACCGCTGTCACATTACCAGCGTCCAATAATCTGCTATAAGTACCGTCTGAGAGCGTACCTGCACAGGTGCGCTCACAGGAAGTCTAAATATAAACACGCTCCGTCAGGCGCCCTCCAGGAGGTAACAGGAAGTGGCGGTGCTAGGGGGCGGGGTCACGCAGTGCTTTTGGTGGGCAGCTCCGTGCTGTTGTGTCGAGTCTTGCGTGACGTGCCATCATCACGCGGCCGTGCCCTCTGCAGGTTGGACATGGCGGCAGTGCGTTCAATGTCGATGAGGGCGTACAGCTCGGTGCGGCGGGTGGGCGTGGTTGGGGGAAGCGGGGAGGTGGGGGTGCGTGGCGTGTGGGGGTTACTTCCGTCCGAGGCTCCCTTGTTCCCGCCGCCCTGCTCCATCTCTACCTCGATGTAGTTCAGAGTTTTGGGCGGCTCGGGGTGTCCAGGCAGCGGCGGCCGCCGAAAGTCAAAGTTAAAAATGGTAGGGCCTTCAGTGCGGCGGCGGGCAGTGTCAGGCCGATGGGCACTGAGAGGTGCTGTCACGTTCTCCGTATTGACGTAGTTGTGCGAGGCCTCGAGCGTGGCGGACAGCGGGTGGGAGTAAGAGTGGTGCAGAACGCCATGGTGGTTGTAGCCATTTAACGACGGCGTCCTAAGACCGCCACAGACAGGCTCCTCCTCCTCTCCACTCGGCTTCCTGGCCTCCCACACGGGTGGCAGCGCAGGCAAGTTCTCATAGTCCAGCAGGGCAGTGCGGCGCTGCGCCGAGTTGTTGACATTCTGCAGGTCAGGGGTGAGGGGGGCGGGCGGTGGCGACGAGGAGCTGAGGATGGAACTGAAGAGGAGGAGGAGGAGCCATTGGAGAGCGGGGGGGCGGGCTCCGGCTCGGCAGGGGTTTCAGGAGGGCCGTTAGTTTCTTGAGGCTCCTCCCCCTGCGTCTCTTGCTTCCTCTTCTCCTTCTCCATCAGCTGCCTCTGTACGGGGGTGGGGCCCAACACGAAGCGCACGCCCTGCGGCTCCAGCAGCACCTGCGGCTCCACCTGAGGAGGTGGGGGTGGCGGTTCGCTGCGGACCCTTGGGGGAGGCGGGGGGGTTGGAGGACACTGAGACTGGGGGGAGGTGGGGCTCTCCAGGGGGGTGGTGACAGTCAGAGGACTGGGCTGCTCCTCCAGGAGCCCCGTGGTGTTCACATAGGTGTGCACCTGCAGGAGGAGACATCGTCAATGTGTCATCATGACATCATCAGTATTTACAGTCAAACAGGAAGTTGATCTCTTACCGCATCCTCGGTCACCAGCAGGGGGTGAGTCGACTCCTCCCCCACAGAAGGGAGGCGGGTGCTGGCCACCGACGGGTGACGGGTGGAGGGATGAGATGGAGCCTCCCCCACAGACGGGATCCTGCTCACCCCGTTAGGAAGAGAGGGCACAGAGTACCCCACAACTACACACACACACACACACAGTCAGGTTAGTGTGATGATATTATGTTTACTCTGATCTGTTATCACCGTTACTGTTCATGCTACACAAGTCAGACGCAGCGCTGCTACTAGCAGGTGTGTGTTGGGTGTGTACTTTCCTGCAGGTGTGTGTGTGTTTAGCTGCAGGTGTGTGTGTGTGTGTGTGTGTGTGTGTGTGTGTGTGTGTGTGTGTGTGTGTGTGTGTGTGTGTGTGTGTGTGTGTGTGTGTGTGTGTGTGTGTGTGTGTGTGTATTTACCTGCAGGTGTGTGTGTTGTGTGTGTGTATTTACCTGCAGGTGCGAGTTGGTGTCCTGGCTCCATCACCGCCTCCTCCACTACACTGATGCTGTGACTGTGCATCACCTCCTGCAGCATGTTGAAGATCTCCTCAGCCCGAGGACACTTAAAGGCAAAAATACCTGACAGACACACACTCAATTTAAGAATAAAGTTCACCTTTAATAACCAGAGTTTTTGTTTTCTTTAACAAAATGAGGAGAGAAAAACACAATCATAAACCGTGTGTGTACATGTTTGTGTGTACCTTGTCCTGTCTGGCAGCGGCGGCCGCTCTCAAACGAGAAAAGGTTTGAGTCGTATCCATAGCGACGCAGGCACAGGTAAGGCCACCTGACATCGTCGCGGCGATGTGTGTGGAGGACGAGCTCAGCGTCGGTCAGCTCCATCACACCTGAACCCAACTCGTTCCCATCGTCGTCCACGTTGATCACCTGCACAGGTGGCATACACACACGGTTACACACATGGTTACACACATGGACGGACGGACGGACACACACAGACCTTAAACTTGCTCTGATGATTATCTGGGATTGACTCTTTCTCTGGACAGCTTAAACAGCTACCCATGGCTTCTTCACAGCACCATCTGATGTCTGAAACACACACACACAGCTGGAGTCATATTCACACATATTCATAGACACACGTCTGAGTGAGGTGTGTGTGTCTTACCTAGATCCTGCCTCCAGTAGCCCTGCTCCCATCCTCAGAGCCTGACGGACTCTCATGCTTCTTTAGAGATTCTGTGAACATGAAGAGCAGCTCTGCGCGGGCGCGCACACACACACACACACACACACACACACACACACACACACACACACACACACACACACACACACACACACAGACATACAAAGGTCAGACATTTTCTTCCTCCTGTTTACAAACTAATAGTACTACACATACGTTTACCATTATTACTGTAGCTTTCTGTCTTAGTCATTGTTGTTGCTCTGTTTGTCTCTTTCATGAGTCTGGTTCCGCTCCAGGTTTCTGCCTCTCAAAGTCAAATCAAAGACTGATTTGGAGAGAACAGGGGTGATCCACTTGAATCCACAGGTCGGAGATGCAACATTTCTAAGGTTCTGTTTGAGTCTCAAGTCAATGCATAAGTTACATGTTTGACTCTTAAAGGCCACATATTCTGTAAAATCCATTTCACCATGTTCCTCTAACACTAATATGTGTCCCTAGTCCGTCTACAAACCCCCCAATGATGACAAAAGTCCATCCTCTCCGTCTTCTGCCTACTCTACTTTTCAGAAAATGTGTGTTCAAACAGGCCATTTGGAGATTTTCCCTTCATGACATCACAAAGGGCAGTAACCCCTCCCCCAGGTGGGTGACACTCCCACAGCTAGGTGTTTGTTCTACCCTCTGAGTCTGCCTTCTCACCGTAAACAAAAGGACATAGAGGGGGTGTGGTCAGACACAGCTCAATTACATTTAAAGGTACAGACACAGAAACAGTCTGTTCTGAGCAGTGCTGATATAGAGAAGTTTATAGACATGATTAAATACAGGATCAGAGTGGATTTATAACAAGAAACTTCACACATGTTTTCAGGAGCTCTGAGACTTATTTACACTGGTTGAAGAGGAGGAGAATATGTGACCTTTAAAACTCTGTGTTCAGGTGGCCAATTAAAAATGAAGCAGTAAAAAGCTGGGTGTGTAAGAGAGCTTCATTCCTCTCCTCCACACAGTCTCTTGAAATAGATGATGTTCTTTAAAATCTTCAGACCTTTTTGACACTATTAATCATAAAAATAACAGACTGTATGGTTTTAGATTACACACGTCAAAGAGTATTAAAGTTTCAGAAACTTTGACAACCTTCTGTGGGGAAAATATAATCCTGCAAACTGAACCTCTGAGAACCGGGAACCATCTGACGTTTAGAGGTACTAAGAGCTCCTAGTCCATGGGACTTAAAGAACAACAGCTATCGGGATCAGCTACTTTTATCTCAGATATGCGCAGATATTACAAGATTTATTTATTCAAAGTGGATTAGAGCTGTCAGGATACCAAACAGTAAAACTTCCTTAACTGTTAGTCTCACAGGTGACAGAAATAGTTTAACTGATATATTTATTACATGAGTTTATAAAATGTAGTTAATGCACATCTGAGGGTCAGGAGAGAACAATATGTGGTCACTGTCAGCCGGTCGATACAATATAGAATTTATGTGACCAACATCGATATTGGCGAGGGAAAAAGTCAGATACTGATATATCCGCCGATATCTTTGAGAAATCGTTTTTCGATTCTGTAGATTTAGACGTACAAATGTTTAAGTTGAAAAGATAATAAGGACAAGATGGTCACTGATCGGGACCTCCAAAAGAGTTCTCAAGACCTCTAACGCAGTGGTTCCCAACCGATCTAGCTTCAGGATGCACCGCCAGCTCCTTCATGAAAAGTCGCGACAGATTTGTTCAATGTGAAATAGTGCATATGGACCTCAGACGGTGCAACACGTGAGAGAACGAAGAAACCAAACAAACATTTTGGAAAAGCGCTTCACAGACTTTTTTGACAATATTTTTTCCAGGCACACTTTAGCAACCCACTGAAAATGGCTCTGCGACCCACTTCTGGGTCCAGACCCCCCAGTTAAGAAACAATGCTTTAAAGAGTACCTCCAAAAACTGGCCTTGGACACTATGGACCATTAAAATAACCGATTGCGTCGCTCTGTAACCCCCTGAGAAATTAAAAGTATTGACCATTTGGACACCTCACAATAAATTATCTTTCATATTAAAAGGAGCACTTTGAAGATTTGGTGGAAGTTTACAGATTATTTGCTATATTTTCTGAACTAAATACACAAACTTTACTCAAAGGAAAAACGGGTCCCCCACCAAAACATCTCACTGATCATTTTATCTGTACATTTCTCCAACTTTCACATTTCTCTACCAAACCTCCATAGTGCACCTTTAAACTGTCCTTTTAAGTACATTTAAAATAACTTCAGACACATTAAAACCCTAACCCATAAATATTAAACATTAGAATTCACTTTAAATAACCAACCAAACACTTTAACAACTGTTTCTATCAGAGGACAGAAAACTGACGAGTTTATGACAGTTCATTATTTAGACTTTCTATTGTTACAGACTTTAATTGAACTCGTCCTAATGAGCAGAAAAGAAGTGAACAAGCCTTCAATCAGTCAGTTTGAGATGTGATAAAGTGTTGCTGTGTTTCAGAGTTAACCAGCACAAACAAACACTAACTAAGGGTTCAGCAGCCCTAACTAGCACAGACTGCTGAGTCAGTAATAAAGTTAGATATAAACTTCTTCTCAGAGTGAGTCACAGAGGACTCTAACTTTCCTCCTCTCTGTGTGTAATGGCAGCTAGTTAGCACTGAGCTAACACTGATTTCAGCTAACTAATTAGCTCCGAGGCTAACTCTCAGTTAGAGCCCACAGCGCACTCCGTCTGTGAGCTCTAACACATCGGGTGATATTACAGAGATCCATACTTACTGAACACCGTCACTGTGATGGATTAAAGCCTCCACCTTCCGGACATCCACCCCGCGGTGAAGCAGCTCAGATGAGTCCGTAAACTGCGGCTAGCGTTAGCCCGCTGCTACACCCGCAGAGCCTCCATCTTTCCTCTGCGCCGCCAGAGCGCCAAAAAAAAACAATCACAACTTCTTTCTACCGTCTCTAACGCTCCTGTTCGCGCGATTCAAACCAAGAAAAACGATTTACATCCATCGGTAGTCCTCCGGGGTTCACTGTGTGATAACGGCGTCAGTCCAAAGGCACTTTTTCCACCCTGAAAAAACAACTTTGCAGCTCGGACCGTCGTTTCTGCTGCTAGCCTGTCGGGCTAAATCTCTGCAACTTAGCTAAACTTCCGAGAGTTCAGCCTCTCAATGTGCTGGAGCCCCGCCGCTCTGCGCATGCGCGGGCCGTGCGGTCTGGAATAGCCGGGGCCTCTCCCAGCGGAACCATAATGAATGACTAACAGAGACATCTGAAAATACATAATTAACTGTTTTATTCAAACACCCACAAATATGCGTCATCACGAGTCCAAACACAGAGCCGAACATGAAGACAGAGAACAGACAAATAAACCTGAAGGTTGATTATTGAAAGAGAACACAGATTATTGATTATTAAGTCAGGAGACATTCCTGTACAGTGAGTTTACAGTCATGTTGGAGCAGGTCAGCCTGCAGTATGGATGAATAATCAGATATTTCTACATCTCATGTCTCTCTCACACACACACACACACACACACACACACACACACACACACACACACACACACACACACACACACACACACACACACACACACACACACACACACACACACACACACACACACACACACACACACACACACACACACACACACACACACATACACACACACACCTACACACACACACACAAACACATCAGCTCATGTTTACACAATTCAAACTTAAAGTTACGGTAGCTGGGAAGGGCAAAACTAAATTAAGTGTGAAACACTTCTGAAACATTTGAGACAATTTACATTTCAGAAAACAAAACGACTAGAAGTTCGACAGTTAAAAGTGTTCTGCATCTTGTAAATGTGTTTGCCAAAATGTAAATTAGTCTCAAGCTTTGTAAAAGTGTTTTGGCCTTCCCAGCCACCGTATAAAATAATAAATATTAATACACATCAATGTGTCATTGCTGTTGCTTAGCAACAAACAAACAACGTGTGCTAAAACATCTGCCAACAGATCGTCTCTATTTCAGTGTTTTACGGCGTCTGATTTATGTGGCGCTCCCTCTAGAGGAATCCTCCAGTAACACACATTGTACATCGACAAGTATGTGAACATTTACGTTCAGGACGCAACTGGTTCAAAAGCGAGAATATCTGAGCCCACAAAGGGAACTTCCAGTGTTTTAACCCTGGGTTTACATGTTTAAGTCTCTTTACTTTACAACTCATAATATCGGGTCTTTCTTCTCTCCTGACTAACAGCTACAAAATAACTGACAAATCATTTTCTAAAATAGATTTATACTAAAACACCTGAAACACCCTGAAGCATGAAAATACTCCTCGCATCATCATCATCATCCTGTGCAACCTGCAGCAGTTACAGAAGCTGTCTGAATATATTTTAAACTTATTATAAAAACATAAATTAGAAGCGTCTGTTACATGACGTGAAATCCAAACACAGAGAAATATATATTTTATGTACAGTCCTGTCAGTTGTATAAATAATCCTAAAGTTTGTCTCTTTATAGAATATGTGAGATTTGAAATATAAACATTAGTATAAAAATAAAACTCAACGTTTCCTGCATTCATCAATACAATCTTTACCGCCGGCTGCACAGCATCTCTGAAAACAAAGATCAAGACATCCGATTATCACTTATTCCCAATGTGTCTGTGTAACCTCCAGCTGGACTTTTAACACTCACCTCTCTGGGAGTTGTAGTTCTGGGAGTTGTAGTTCTGAGAATTTAAGTTCACATTTTCGTAGATGGGACAAAGGAAGAGCTCCTGCTCACTGCGCAGCTTCCTCGCTCTGAAAACATCTCGCACACACTGATGGAGGTACGAATACTGACCCTGAGGAGGAGGAGGAGAGATTACATCAAACTAAGGAGGAGGAGGAGGAGAGACTACATCAGACTGAGGAGGAGGAGGAGGAGAGACTACATCAGACTGAGGAGGAGGAGAGACTACATCAGACTGAGGAGGAGGAGGAGAGACTACATCAAATTGAGGAGGAGGAGGAGAGACTACATGAAACTGAGGAGGAGGAGAGACTACATCAGACTGAGGAGGAGGAGGAGAAGGAAGATGAGGAGGAGGAAGAGAAGGAGGAGGAGGAGAGGCTACATCAAACTGAGGAGGTGGAGGAGGAGGAGAGACTACATCAAACTGAGGAGGAGGAGGAGGAGAAAATACATCAAACTGAGGAGGAGGAGGAGGAGGAGAGATTACATCAAACTGAAGAGGAGGAGAGACTACATCAAACTGAGGTGGAGGAGGAGAAGGAAGATGAGGAGGAGGAAGAGAAGGAGGAGGAGGAGAGGCTACATCAAACTGAGGAGGAGGAGGAGGAGAGACTACATCAAGCTGAGGAGGAGGAGGAGAAAATACATCAAACTGAGGAGGAGGAGGAGGAAGAGAGACTACATCAAACTGAAGAGGAGGAGAGACTACATCAAACTGAGGTGGAGGAGGAGGAGGAAGATGAGGAGGAGGAAGAGAAGGAGGAGGAGGAGAGGCTACATCAAACTGAGGAGGAGGAGGAGGAGAGACTACATCAAGCTGAGGAGGAGGAGGAGAGACTACATCAAACTGAAGAGGAGGAGAGACTACATCAAACTGAGGTGGAGGAGGAGGAGGAAGATGAGGAGGAGGAAGAGAGACTACATCAAACTGAGGTGGAGGAGGAGAAGGAAGATGAGGAGGAGGAAGAGAAGGAGGAGGAGGAGAGGCTACATCAAACAGAGGAGGAGGAGGAGGAGGAGAGACTACATCAAGCTGAGGAGGAGGAGAGACTACATCAAGCTGAGGAGGAGGAGGAGGAGAGACTACATCAAACTGAGGAGGAGGAGGAGGAGAGACTACATCAAACTGAAGAGGAGAGACTACATCAAACTGAGGTGGAGGAGGAGAAGGAAGATAAGGAGGAGGAAGAGAAGGAGGAGCAGGAGGAGAGGCTACATCAAACTGAGGAGGAGGAGGGGGAGGAGGAGGAGGAGGAAGTACATTTTAAAAATCGCTTTAATTCATGAATGAACTGCTGACAGTCCTACCTCTGTCTGCACCATGTGTGAGCGGTGGATTCTCAGGTCAAACACGGAGCCGTAGATGTCCACCGTGTCCTTAGAGTCCATCTGCTGCAGGACCCGATCCAGAACTATTAAGGTCCCAGTACGACCCACACC